CGTCGTCGTCGTCGTCATCGCCGTTTTCTGTTACGACGTTGTAGCTGATGACCGATCACTTCATCAGGTGTATTCTATCCAACATGTTAGCACGATAGTTCTCACTTGTATATTAGTTTTTTCTGCCTCCGTCATTTCGCACTTGTTCTTTGTTCTCCATGCGTGTGTATCTGGTGACGTGGGCCATTACCTGGTGGTTGAGGCGTGTGATCTAAATGATCACGTTGTCGTCGCTTTATTTCACACTCTTATTGGTGTTCATCGCGTGACCTAACCCGTCACCTTGTCGCTGTTGCGTCATTTCACTCTTTTTTTCTTTTTCGGTGCGTTTATTTTGCGGTAGCCTGGATCATCATGTGGCCTTAATGTTATTGATTCTAACATATCACGATTTTTGTTTCTGGAGCCTCCTGGCTTTTTTTGTTTGTTTGCGTTTTGTTCCGTTTTGTCTCTGGTGACCTGGATCATGACCATGTAAATTGTTTCGTCCAGCTCATCCTGGTACGCGGGAAGATTCTGAAGGTGGAGGGGAAGGTCGCCACCGGGTCTCTCGGACGCGCCGACACCTCGGCGGCACCGGTGCTGCTGGAGCCCGTTGGCCGCGGTACGGGCGGCAAAATCACGCTCTCAGGAGACTACAAGGTGCGGCCGGTGTTGGTGCTCGGACTGCCGTTGGAATGAAACGTTGGGTTTGGAGTGTGATTATTTGTTTTTTGTGATCACTTCGTATCAGCCCTTGCAGCATTCGGGGTGTAGACTTGTAGAATCAGGATCTCAGGAGAGCAAACAAGGTGCGGCTGCTGGCCCTCGAAGTGCTGTGTAGTTAGTCATGTAAGCACAAGCCGTGTAGTCGTTAGACCATTGACCGCGACCTTCCATCCCTCCAACAACGGAGCGATATTTCGCCGGCCCAGGCTAATTTTTTCACAAGAATGAACCAGAAGCTGGTCATCATCCTATTATTCGTAGCTTCTATGCCAGTGCAGATTTGGCATGGGTTGATCGCGGGGCGAGTAAAGTTGGCGTTTTCGCTGTCGTTGTGTACGCACATGTACCTGTATTGCTTAGCGGCCGTGGGTTGAGAGTGAAAAGCCTGAAGGTGTACGATGATGAGTGCAAAGAAACGACATGCTCGCAGAGACGCTGTTACGGTTGTTGTATGGTTTGCTACTACTGTACAGCCACATTTGACACCTAGAAACAAACTTCTGGGTCTACAGAAAACAAGTGCTTGCCAATTTATGGCCAAGCATACATAGCCACCCAGAAGGACCAACCTCGTGTGCCTGGTTTTGCCGACCTGTGTATTTGTGTTTTTATTTTACTCCCAACGACGAACATCCTTTTTAACGTCTTCCCCGTCCCTTGTTACCCCCTCCCCCGCTCCCGAAACAAGCAGGCGTTCAAGCTCCCGTCTGACATGCTCACGAACTTCGCGAGGGACGAACGAGGAAGGATGCAACTGTGAGTTTTTTTACCTTCCGTGTTTTTGGCGAGCAGGCTTTTATTGCCGTTGTGGGCTATTGAATGCAGGTTCGAGGTCTCGTCGATAGACCAAGTTGATGCTACCGTTGAAAACTGCGCACACGGGGGTTGTGACGGAGCCCTTTAGTGCCTGATACTCGGCCGCTATTGCAGCATCTCGCCTTTCGAAGATTGAATTTCCCTGACCACCCTCATCTTCCGACCGGAAGCTTGAACGCTTTTACGCGTCCTTTGCTGGTCTTTTGAGTCTCGCCCATCCCTCCTGACACGGCGTTCACCTTCGTCGTTCCAATCCCTCCCCCGCCCCCCCCAACCTTCTCGTGAACCGCCCAAACCACACCAGCCAAGAGACCAGGAAGCGCGAGTCGATGTCCCTTTCCACGATGAACCCCATGACCAGCACCAACCACCCGATGACGGGAGACTTGTCGTCGGAGGCGGCGCAGGCCCAGCAGAAGTCCCTCGCCATGTCGCAGGCCATGGAGGAGAACATGGCCGCCAGATTCAACCTCAAGAATCCCGTCGCCGCGAGGGTCGGTGCGCAGGCGGCGATGAAGTTCATGACCGGACTCAAGCGTCGCCAAGAGGACGAGGACGGTGTGGATGCGGACCCGGCGAAAGCGGCGGCTTCTGCTGTGGGGAGGATGGCGGGCGGGGGTGGTGATGTCGGTGACATCTACGGCGAATGAGGGTGCGGGGGGGGAGCGGCTCCCAAGGGCAACAAAGTAGCGTGTTCTGATTGAGCTGGGCTGGTGTCAGCAGCAGCAAACGAACACGCTTACGTTTTGGTCGTGCCACCAGCATACATTTTGTGACTTTTTTTTCTTCGCGGACGGGGATTGGAGAGAGAGAGAGAAACGGGAAGAAAACCATGTGTAGCGCCGGTGGCTCGCCGGCCCTTTCAGGCTTGGCGGTTTTCCCATGGAGAAGAGGAGCCTTCTTGTGTATAGCTTTAGGCTTCTCCTTTGCTTGGGGGTGTAATGAGAAGGCGGAAGAGGTGGGGGGGGGTCACACACCCCTGCCCGCCCCATCCTGTACTCATTCCCATTGCCTTTGCCTACCGCCTCCCCCCGGGTACTCACTCGAAGGGTTCGTTGTACTTGAGTCCGAGTGCACCGCCAACTTGTAATTGTCCCCTGTGTTTGCCAGCTAGTTATTAGACTGATAGCGCCTCCGCCGTGGGTCTCGCGCTGAGGCTGCCTGCATTTATCAAAGTTGTTGCCACGCAAGCCTTAGGCGGCCTGTGAATTGTGAAGGTCGTCGTCGTCGTTTCGGGCAGCAGCTGCAGACCTCAGAACCAAGAGCCTGTAACAAATGCTGGTGCCACGGCTTGACGGCTTGCCGCCGTGGTTTGAGCGCGCCTTACTCGCGTTGACTCTTGAGACATGAGCGTGTTGTAATTTCTGCGTGTGTGTGTTTTTTTTTGTGCGTTCGTCGATGTTGCTCCACGGCAAGAGAAGGCCGACAACGACAAATTTCTATTGCCGGCAAGTTGGCAGAAACCTGAGGGGTGGGTGGCATGAGCTTCGATTCGGTTCGGAAGAGGCAGAGGGGAGCAAGCGTGCTGTGATTGTCCACCTCGGATGTGGCCCCATTGCATAGTCAGTCGGTGCCGATGGGTATCGGTTCGCTCAATTCAATATTATTAGAAGAACGACCACCCTGTTTCTGTTGGTGGAAGCGGCGACCTGGCATTAGCCTATTCCGCAACGGGAGGGCGGCGCGCGCGGTACGAATGTATAGTATCACGAGGGATATTGTATCGACAGCGGTATCAAAAGATTTGTGCCGAATTCAGGGCAAAGGGCAAATGCGCACTACTTCTGTGCGTACCTTCAGAGGAGGGTTGTGTTCCACGTGTGGGAGAAGCAACCTGGCGGTTTGGAGGGGGGGGGGTACTCGCGCCGCGGTGCCTCTCCGCGCTACTTGGTTTTGCTGTGTTGGACGGTAGGCCAGGGACACATGGATGTCTCAGGCGCACTTGAGGCGAGCTCTCGCTTTTTGGGTTATCGTCGTGATCGACTACGATAGGGGGGTTGTATGGCAGTGCGAAGGTGGCCGCCATACAAGGCAGCAACGAGAACGTCATCCATCACCGCTAGTTGCTGAATGTTCGACAGAGCGACAGTGTGTTCGTGGTCTACATGTCGCATGTTGCCTTGGTTTCGTTTTTGAGCATTCCAGTTTATTTATCGTCCGTAACACGTTGCTTGGCAGCTGTTTGCTCTTGCTTCGCGACGACTCTTGCATGGCGCTTGTGTTGGGGGAAGGGTTATGCTTGTGCTTCACACGACAGTCACTGGTGCACGGCTGTCCTTGTTTGCTTCTGTGCGTACCTTCAGAGGAGGGTTGTCTTCCACGTGTGGGAGAAGCAACCTGGCGGTTTGGGGGGGGGGGGGGGGGGGGGGGGGC